ATTGGGGGTGATCATCGATGGGTCATCCTAATTCTCTTTGACGTCTAAAATGCTTTTATTACATTGCAGTGGGGTCACGTAATGAGCTCTTTAGAAGCAAGGAACTGTCCTGGTTATCTGAGCAATGTGGTCGCTGATTATCTTTCCGAGAGGAAGATTGTGGTGAAAAATGGACGCCCAAAAAGTACGTTAAGTATTTGGGAGTTACTCTCCACCAGGATGGGAGTTGAGAGGAACATTTGAGGGGGGTGACCCGCAGAGCTGTTCAGAGAATGGTTGCGCTGGAAAGAATAATGCCTAATATCGGTAGTCCCAAATCCGAAAGGAGAAGGGCGCTATATGGTGTTGTGCAGTCTGTCGTCCTCTACGCGGCCCCAGTCTGGAGTGACGCGGCAGAAGTACCAACTTACAAGAGGCTTATGGTACGCGTGGACAGAACTAGTCTGCTGCGTGTAGGAAGTGCCTACAGGACTGTGTCAGCTGCCGCTCTGTGGATTATTACCGGCTGTGTTCCTTTACATGTGCTGGCAGGTGAAAGTGCAAGGATTCACAGTCGTAGGAGGCGGAACATTGGAGAGCGAGAAATGAATGAGATAAGACTGGCCGAGAGATTAGTTTCAATTGGACAGTGGCAACAAAAGTGGGAGTACGTGATGTAGCGGAGTGGACGAAGTCCATAATCCCGAACCTTCGAAGCTGGGTGGACTATGGGCATAGGCAGCTATATTACTATCTAATGCAAATGCTTACAGGCCATGGCTGCTTTCGCAGCTACCTTTTTAGGTTTGGGAGGGCTCAGTCCGATCAGTGCCTTTACTGTGGTTTCTCGGATACTGTGACAGACACGATGTTGAAGTGTGAGCGTTGGGCAGATGAAAGAGAGAAGTTTGTAAGAGAGTATAACTGCAGAATGTTTGATTCCGTGAGAGAAATGGTGGAGAAAATGATGAGGGATAAGTGGTGGTGGACACGGATCCACAAATTTGTCAGGGAGCTGCTCTTTTCAAAAGAACGAGAGGAGAGGGAACTCGCAACAAAATTTTAAGACAAGCGAGTAGCACCTTGGTAGGGTTCGGACTGTCGCAGGTCGAAATAAGAGTGAGTAAAAGGCAGACGACGCGAGAGAGATGGCAGCCTCGCTAAGGCAGAAGGTTGAAAGTCAAGTTGAGCCCACTCAAGGGCTCCTCACTCAAACTTCTTACTCCATGAATTACTCCTTTTCTTCAGACACAAGTAAATCTTAACTGATCGACTTGCTCAAATATAAACTATGCATGTAATATTTACTTGTAGTATATCATCTATTTCTTTAACTTCTTTTGCCTGCTACCACAGTTAGAAATTTTTTTCTTCTCCTTATAGTGTCCTATCCAATTAGTGAATGTTGGCAATAATTCTGGCATACTGCTTTTGATTTTGTGTGGCTCTAAAGAGTGCATGGGCATCAAGGTTTGTCCAATCCCTTATATTTTTTAGCCATGAGTATTGCTTTCTTCCGATGCCCCGTTTTGCTTCTTTCTTCCCTTTCATAATAAGCTTGGCTTAGATTAGCAAGAATTGGCAGCAATTTTTATTCTCTGCCCATTCGATTTAATACTTCGACATTTGTTATGTATTCTGTCCAGGGAATTTTAAGTAGTCTTTTAAATACCCGCATTTTAAGGGGCTCCAATTGGTTTATCATATTGGTCTTTATGGTCCAAGTTTCTACACCATATAGCAGTATGGATTAAATGTAACATTTTACAAAGCGATATAGAAGCGTTAAATTAAGGCTGATGTTGCTTCGCAAGTTTCTCATATTAGTAAATGCTGTTCTGGCTTGCTCAATTCTGTTACGTATTTCTTTGTCTGGATCTAAATCTTTATTTATCCAACTACCAAGATATCTGAACTTATAGACCTTTTGGATGTTCTTATTGTTAACTGTTATATCTCTTATATTTCATTGCATACTATCTGAAATTAATTGAAAAGAACTCTTTTTACAAAAACAAAATACAACTTTTTTTAAGAATTTACTGTTTAGAAACTCTGCCAATTAGCACCGTCCACAATACCTATCTTTTCTCCTGGCAGGACTCACATCAACCCTCAAACTTTTCTCTATATTTTCTAAACATAACGCATAAATAATATTCCTCTTATTCTAGCCGTTTTCTACCAAATTTAAGTGTTGTTACAAAAAAACCCATTGCTACCAAAAGCCCAGCAATCAAACCATTTCTTAATAAAAGGTCTTAAAAATTTGTTCAATTTCTAAGAAAAAAAAAGATAAGTGAATATCTACCTAAACAAATTCACTTAACCTTTATGGCTTTATACATTTTCACTTAGACACTACAGACATAGGAACCCTTAAAAAGAGGTAATTAGAAAAAATTAACCATTACTTAAAAATCCTAAGATGGACTTTAAAAAAATAAAAAAAAATAAAAGACGATCGATAGCGCTGTAAAGAACATTGATTGAAGATAACTCCATAGGTATAAAGAACTCGGAAGCGATATCAGCTATAGTCGAAAATAACATGCAATAAAGAAGCTTTTCGGCTGCCCTATACTTCTTTTACAAAGTAATCGAACAATACATCATTTTCAAAATATTACTAGCATTTTCAACTATATGTACCCTACAATACATTTTTTTTGAATGACAAATCATTTTACAAAGAAATTTTCTAATTTCTCTTATTAATTTCTACTACGTTTTATGCAATATTTAGTTTAGTATATAATACTTAAACTTGGCCTTTGCCTTCCTTCAATAGTCTCATAAAATATATTACTTAAATCTTATCTTATTTAGTATTCTTTTAATGTATTTGTCTGTATATCAAAAAACTTATAATAAAATCATTACCATTTACGCCATAACAATATTAATCCATATTATTTAATCAAGTCAAGGTAGATTTCTCTAATGCCATTATCGCTAATAAAGTGCAACCTTATTACCCAGATACAATTCCATTTTAATTTCACCTAATTAAATAATAATTGAGAAAAAACTGGTGTCATTATCAAGTCAGAATTACTAATAGATTTATATAATAGGCTTATGAATTTAGACGTATGCCATTTTGAGATATTATCACAAGTTCTTTGCAGTTTACTCTTGATTTATGAACAATATTTAATTGAATTATTAAAATTGTTATATTATTTTAACTGATATGGTAATATATTATATATATATAGAACTTAATATAGTTCTAATTTGAAACATAAGTAAGAAGCGAAGAGTAGACTCAGTTCAAAAATTTAATTGAGTTAAATGGAAATCACCAGCAATCTGTAATTACAATAACACGCCTAAATTCCCGACTATATAAGTTCATAAAAAATAGTATGGCCTAATCGATGAAGCCTCTATATTGACCACGACATATAAGTGGTGCCAACTGTTACTAACTGGTACTGAGAATGATAACTATCATCTGGTAAGCATGAGCTTCCATCGGATTGAGCTCACAATGGTATGTGGGCAGCCTTAACACTATTTTGTTTTGGCTTTTTACCATATCATCAATGATATATTTATGATATTGTCCCTTATGTTCCTTAACGATAGCCTGTAGTTGCACTTTTAATATGGAGTCCTCAAACCCTATATTCTTTAATTTCAACCACGCTTGGATGTCAGCTTTTATAGAAGCAGTAGTTGGAATTTCTTCAATTTTACTGGTCTTTTTTTAGGTGGAGTGAGGGTTAAATCAATATCAAGGAGTTCAACGTCTGTATCAGTGCTTGACAGTTTTGTCATTCTATTTATCTTCAATAACTTAATGTGGTTAGTTGATTTAGAGAATGTCAAAGTAGCCTAGGGAAAGATAGTATTCATTAATACAGTATAATAGAACCAGCATCATCGAAAATATCGGTTAAGTTATGAAACAGCATTCTGTATACTTTTTCAAGTCCAGAAATATTCCATTCACTCACGATAAAACTTCCCCAAAGAACAGCTTGGATTGACATGACATTTGGCATACACATAGCTAACATGTTAAATAAAAAAATTTATATTGTGCTAATGTGTGTTTTTGCCCTAGGGGTGAGTTTCACCAATTCTCAGGAGTGAAAAAACAAACTTTCAAAATAAGTCATGAATTGGATAAACTGACTAAATTCTAAGCAATCTTTGTTCTATAAAGTTTTTTCACTAAGTCAATACTTTTCAAGTTATTCAACTTAGCAATAACTATAACATATAACACACAATATTTAATATATTAAAATCCAACACGCTATAATTTAAATTTAAATAGACTGACAGGTTTGGACCTGTAAAATGAGAATCCATCTGACTTAGGCAATAAATTGTATATTTATTAATCTCTTGACGAATGAGAGGGCAAATATCAACATGTGCGTTTGTTTACAGTTGGGAATTTGCTAAACGAATGTACTTTGCAATTTAGTTAATACTGAAATCAAGCAAGACGTAACTGAAACGTATGGACTTTCGTCCATACAGCAAAAAGAACAGATTCTTCTAAGACTTTTACAAGCACTTGAGCAATGCCACTAGAAATACTTGCACTCATTGCACATCCATCCATTTGTTGGTATATTTCGTCCTTATAGAAAAAGTATGTTGAGTCAAACGATAATTCTACAGATGATTGGAATTCTTGCAATTTGCTTTTACCAATTATGCCATTAATATTACACTGCATACACACTCACGATTTCACGAAACCTTTGAGAGATATAATAACACGAATCGCGTATTGTCATTGGGATAATTTAATTAAATGGGGTACTTTTATGAAAAAATGTAAAATAATGAAAAAATGTAAAGTTAAAAACAAGATTAGAGACTAAAAATAAATATGATACCAAGAAACAACAAATAAATAAAGTTAACCTACTGGGTATAAAATCGGATAAAAAAAATTATTTCTAAAATATTTATTTTATAAATTGTTATTTTATATCTCACGTTATCATAATATAATACTCTTAATATTATATTTGGCTTGTTTCCTTTTTCAGGTAACAGTATTAATAGTATTAGTGGCATCAACGCAAGCTGGACTCCTAGGCGCTCCAGCAGCATATTCAACAGTTACTTCCCACGGAATCCTCGGTAGCCACGCATTAGCAGCCCCATCAGTTTCATACGCATCGCCAGCAGTTTCATACGCAGCGCCAGCAGTTTCATACGCCGCACCAGCAGTTTCCTATGCAGCTGCTGCTCCTGCTGTATCCTATGCTGCACCTGCAATCACACACAGCATCGCTGCACCTGCGATAGCGCATACATACGCCGCACCAACAATTGTTAAAGCTGCTCCCGTGATCAAAGCTGCACCTGCTGTGGATTATGTAGTAAGTTGTCATCATATTTCATAAAGAAGCAACACATTTATTTCTTTGAGTGTAAATATTTATACTTTTTTATTTGAGTACATAAATTCGATATATTTTTTGACTACTAATTAATTTATATGTTTTTCTTCACACTATTAACATCTTACCTTGTACAGACTTTACATAATTTGCTACAATTTCTTGTGAAAGCATGATATGTAAACCTATTGCTATTGTAATTTCTACCATAAAAGTTCTAAAAGTAATTTTTTTCTTAAAAATCGCATCTTAATCACAAAAGAACACATGAAGAGGGTACAGTCATTTAAAATGCTTAGAACCGTATAAACACAGAAGAAAATGTACACAGAAGTATTGCAAGAAATGGTCAAAGAATACGAAATTAATAATAAATACAATAAAAATAAGTAAGTTAAGTTATTTGGGACCTTTGTAATGAAAAGAAGCGATGTGAAATTCTAAGATTAATAACACAGGAGAAAATAAGAGAAGGAAGGTGTATAGAAAGAAAGAGGGTGTCATATAATATGAAAAAGTTAAAGAGTCTGGTTTAGATGCAGTTTAATAGCTTGATAACCCTTTCTGGGTCCTGACTTGATCTAGGATTTTCCGCCATTCTGTTCTGTTCCTTGCTTTGTTTATCCAATTTGTAATCTTAAGTGTTTTTAGATCTTGTTTCAATTGTTCCATGTATCTAAGTTTGGGTCTTTCTTTCTCCCTATTGGTGTTATTCTGCACAGACGTCCGATAAGTAATAGGTCCTCATCGCTTTTCGACAGTGTCCATGTCTCTGGTCCATATACAAGGACCAGTTTTATTAGGATTTTATATATTTTGCATTTGGTTATTCTTGATATGTCTTATTAGCAATATGTATTTTCTCTTTTTCAACTTTTTCACTGACATTGTTATCTGCGGTAACTAGTACACCTAGATATGTAAAGTTTTTCACGCTTTCAATGTTATAGTCTCCTATTGTCAGATTCTGTAGGTTTCTTTGGCCCGTCGATTTGCTGGCCTTTATATACATATTTGGTTTTTAATTCGTTGATGTTTAGGCCACTGTTTTATGTCGCTCTTTCTATCACATTAAATGCTTCTATCATCTCTCTTTCGCTTCTAACTATGATATCAGCATCATCTGCAAATGCCAATATTTATACACTTTTTGTTATTATTGCTCCTCTGGTGTTGACTTTTGACTCTCTAATTATTTGCTCTAATATTTGATGTTGAATAGAATATAGGATAGGGCATCGTAGGGCTGTCGTAGGCCTGTTCTCACATTTATTGTATTTATTAGTGCGTTTTGAATTCGAATTTTGCTTTATACTTTAAGTGTTTATTTTACTATATCAATGAGTTGAAAACTATTTCAGTGCATAAATCAAAAATTCTCGTTGAATGCTATCAGGCACTTTCAAAATCACTGAAAAGATGATGTGTGTCTATATTCAATTCACTAGTATTTTGCAAGATTTGCCTCAAGACAAAGCTCTAATCTATTGTGGACTTCTGCCTGCAGATACCACATTGATATCTCCCAACTATTTGTTCTGCATATAATCTCAATCGGTCATATACAATATTTGACAGTATATTATATACCACAGTTGTTTTTATTATTTTATATGTTCACTATTAGTTCGTGTATCGCATTCAATAGGGAGTCTCCGCCTTCCTTTACTAATTCTGCGCTAATATTGTCTAATCCAGGTGACTTGTTGTTTTTCAGTCTGGTAACTGCTTCGTATATTTCAACTACTGAAGGGGGAGGTGTTTCTCTGGTATCCGTTTAATCCAGTATAATTCCGTCATATAGTGGATCTTTCAAACTTTTCTTTGAAGAATTTTGTTCATCTCTGTAGTATTGCACTCTGTTGAGTTCTTTATCTCTGCACATCATTGTTCTTAGTTTAAAATATTTTAAACTTTTGATATGTTTTTGCTAGAATTTTATTTAGTTCTTTCTTCCATTTCTTGGAGTTCTTTTTTTATGTTTTCTCTTCTCTTTCTGCGATGTAATATCTTCTCTTCGCTCCTTAGCATTCTATATCCTACTCTACCTTTCGTGATCTATATCGTTGTTGTAGTCGTTGATATGCATTATTTTTCCTCTCTGTTATGTTACGACACTCTTAATCGAACCAATGTCCTTTTGTTGATTTAAGCTTAGAGATTTGCTAAGTTTTTTATTTCATCTTTTTTAATTTTGGATCTCTTTTCTTTTTTGACGTTTAAGATTCTGGCTCTTATTCTACTTTCCACTAGGTAGTAATCCGAGTCTGCATTTGCCCTCGTCTGCTGCATACGTGTATTACGTCTAAGTGATGTCATGTCATTAATAACATAATCGATCATGTTTACCGTAACTCCATCTGGAGATCTCCATGTTCCCCTATGAATATTCTTTCGCTGGAAGCATGGCAATGGCCATGTTAAGGGAAGCTGCTACATTTATTAGTCTGATGCCATTGTCATTGGATACCTCATGAGGGCTGTGCTTACCTATAGTTGGTAGGTATTGTTGCTCTTTTGAAAACATTTTACTTCGTTAAAATTTAGAAAGATAATGTGACACTGGATTGGAAAATGAACAAATATAGATAGGAGACAATCACGGTAAGATCCTGTGTAAAGGATGGATAATAAATCATGCTTTAAATCATTTCTATCGACTCACAGAAAATTTTGGCTTAAGATTTGGAAAAGCTGGAAAAAAATTATTAAAAGTGATGATAGTTACGCGAAAATATTGGATAAAGCCGCTAAGTAACCAAATAGCGTAGAAAATAGGCACATATACAAACCGTAATGGTAGTTTGTTTAGTTAATGTTTGTTTACTTTCATTTTCATTTTACTTTTCTGATCATACGTACCTACATTGGTAGTACGTTATTTAGAATTTACCACGTCGTATTTTGGATATCCCTATTTCAAATAAAACTTTAGGCCAAAAATAAACATATTAGGTTGTTTATATAACGTTTAAATTCAAGAATCATTCTTGACCTTAAGAGAAGATGAAAGTAAATGAACCGAACGACAATATTGCCTTGATCTTAACATCAGAACTCGTCAACTTGAATCTTCTTGTTGTTGCTTGATCTTCTTTCACTTTCCATAGTTTCCCGTTAGAAGAACTACTTCAGGTTTTACATAAAGCTGTCCATGCACGTAAATTTCACTTCTTGTTCCCAAGTTCATCCATTACTTCCTAAAAATTATGAACATACCTATAATAAATAATGAGTTTATTGATGTACAAAATATAATAACAGAAATTAAAATAGGAACTAACAAATACAGAATTTAACTATGTAGAGTAAACCATATTAAAAATGAGTAGGGCATTATTTTTAAATCAGGTGGTTATAAAGGTTTACGTTAATTGAAAAAATATAAGATATGAAAAACTTCAAATCGTCTAATTAGTATCGATTTATTGCATATTAAATCCAAGACCAATCTTTGCAGGTTTATGGCTAGGAAGCCCCATTTTTTCCATAAGAATTGAGTCTTTTTGAATGTGAGTTTTGTATTTCTTATGTAAATTAGATCCATCTAAATATTTTTGCGTATAAATAATTAATAATACGAGAATGTCATTTTTATATTTCTTATGGTAACTATTAAAAAACTTAAAATAAATGAGGAAAGTTCGACATACCTTTTTATGAATATATAAAGATTTAAAACTTAACAATCGATTGCTCAAGAGTAGAAACACAAAAATGAAAAAAAAAATAATAATAATAATAAACGCAGTAAACCAACCAAAGCTATTTAAAAAATAAGTAAAAGATAACAAAAGAAGTTTTTGAGACACAAAGTAAAGACAAAATATTAAAGAAAATTTAAATGAGCAAATTAAGTAAAAGAAATCAACATGCTCTAAAATACCAAAGGAAGTATACAGTAGGAGCAAGATAAGAGCAAATACAAATCGAACAATTTCTTCTCCCTCTTCTTCCGCCTTACAAGCAGTTGAGTTTGTTCATTGGCGGATTAATAGCTCTATGGTAGGTAGTCACCATCTTTTGCGTGATCGTCTGATACTTCTTCTGCCGATTGGTGACCTAACTCTTGCTATTTTAACAACACGGGTCTCCTCCATTCTGCTTATGTAAATATTATATTCTTTTTTTCTATTTTGTGTGCATTTGTTTATACATTGTACGTTACATTTTACAAACAGGACATATTACTCTTTATTGGCCATCCTTAAATCAAAAATACTCTCAAGATCACCAAAAATAAGAGTATACAAGACAATAATTCGACCCACAATAATGTATAGAAGCGAGACAGGGACGCTAAACCAGCGAGAAACGACAAAATTACTGGTTCTTGAAAGAAAGATACTGCGGACTATCTATGAGCCTTGTAGAGAAGAAACAACAGGAGAGTGGAGAAGAAGACACAATAATGAACTCCAGACAATATATGGAGATGAAAACATAGTCCGCTACATTAAAGCAAACCGAATAAAATGGGCGGGCCACGTCCTAAGGTCAAATAACGAAAGACTTCTGAACACCACATTCTGGGAAAAGCCGATGGCAGACGGTCAGTTGGCCGCCCAAGAAAGAGATGGAAGGACGCAGTGGCCAGTGATCTACGTAAAATGGGAGTGCAGCAGTGGGAAATAGCTGCTCAGGACCGACAACAATGGAGGGAAATAGTAAACGCGGACAAGACTCACCTAGAGTTGTAGAGCCAAATGATGATGATGATGATGACGTTACATTTTCTTTTTATGTCTTTACTTCTCTTTCAATCTTTTAGCGTATTTCCAGTAATTCTTCCCAGTACTCTCATCTTTGCTATTTCCAGTAGTTTTTAAGTTATGGCTGTGTCGGGTCTTGTTTCTAAGCCATATGTCATTATTGGTCTTATACTGGCTTTATAAATTCTTGATTTCATCTGTGTTAATGTATCTGTTTTAAGATATAGTGTTATTAAGGCATCCTGCCAGTCTATTTGCTTATTGTTT